TCAGTATTGAGGGAGCGCCGCACTGTCGGAGGATCAGTACTGAGGGAGTGCTGCACTATCAGAGGGTCAGTACTAAGGGAGTGTTGCACTATCAGAGGATCAGTATTGAGGGAGCACCGCACTGTTGGAGGATCAGTACTGAGGGAGGGCTGCACTATCAGAGGGTCAGTATTGAGGGAGCACCACACTGTTGGAGGGTCAGAACTGAGGGAGTGGCCCACCGTTGGAGGGTCAGTACTGAGGGAGTGCCTCACGGTCAGAGGGTCAATACTGAGCAAGTTTGCTCTGTTACTGGATCAGTGCTGAGGGAGTGCTGCATTGTCAGAGGGTTGGTACTGAGGGAGCACTGCACTGTCATTCAACAAAAATAAGTTAGGGGAAGCAATGGCCTAGTGGTTTTATCGTTGGATGGTTAATTCAGAGACCCAGTTAATATTCTGGGGACCCAGATTTGAATCCTGCCACAACAGATGGTGGAATTTGAATTCAAAAATATCTGGAATTAAGAGTCTGTTGGTGACCATGAATCCATTGTCGATTGTCAGGAAAAACCCATCTGATTCAGTAATGTTGTTTAGGGAAGGAAACTGCCATCCTTACCTGGTCTGGCCGACATGTGACTCCAGACCCACAGCAATGTGGTTGACTCTTAACTACCCTCTGGGCAATTAGTGATGGACAATAAATGCTGCCCTAGCCAGCGACGCTCTCATCCCGTGAATGAATAAAATAAAACAACAAAAATAAGTGTAATTTATGTGAGTTGCTTTGTGCAACTTTAATTTTTAACTTACATCATTGAGCAGGCTGGAGTATGTAATTGGTTGTCAGTGTTTCAGGAGGCCCAAGTGCTCAAAGATGGAACATGCATATTTGTGCTGATTTTGAGACTGAGAATTGAACTTCTTTCAGTCACATTGTTGACCCAGCAGACCCCTTGCAGACAGCGGGATTGTTTTACTGTTGATCCAGGATTTCATTGAGTTACCATTACAGAACTAGGCTAGTCTTTGATCTGAAGTCAAACGACACCAGGTTATAGTCCAACAGGTTTGTTTGAAATCACAAGCTTTCAGAGCTCTGCTCCCTCATCTCGTGACGAAGGAGCAGTGCTCTGAAAGCTTGTGGTTTCAAATAAATCTGTTGGACTATAACCTGGTGTCATGTGACTCCTGACCTTGTCTATCCCAGTCCAACACCAGTGCCTCCACATCAATCTTTGATCTTTACATGGGCATTGCTTGAGTTTGTTAGCCTTCCATAACTGCTATTGAGCTGAGGATAATTAAGACCATATTTTTGTCGGCCAGGTGTTGCATGGAGGCCAGACCATGTTCACTTCTTCTCTATTGGCCATTACTGAACCAGATGGGTTTTTACAACAATCGATGATAGCTTTGTGGTCGCCATTGCTGAGATGAGCTTTCAATTCCAAATTAATTCATTGAATTCAAATTCCACCAGCTGCCACAGTTTATATGAGCCAGCATCCCCAGAGTATTAACCTGGCATGTGACTTACAGTCCAGTGACAATCACCACCTTGTCACAAACATACCCTATTCTGGTGTAGATGCTGTTTGTACTGCACCATCACTGCAGCCTCTCACCCTACACTAACCTCACTACATTCATCTATCCCCCCATTTCTTTCCACTCAGTGTGGTTCTGTGGTATCCCTTTATCTGCATCTATGCTACTCACCTCAAACTTATGCTGCAGTAGCGAATTCCACATTCTGGGTTCCAACTCCCTCCGCCCTCTATTTATCAGGACCATGTTTAGCTTTCTATAGTAAAGGATTTCTATTTTGTAAGTATATATTGCACTGCTATGTAAGATTTGTGCTTCTGCTCTGATTTTACAGATTTGGGGAATTATGCTTCATTTGCTGTTTGTACAGAAGAACAAAAATGGACCAGTGCTGACAACTGAGCTCCTTCACTTTGACAGTATATTAATTGCTGCAGAGTTCCTTTAGACCGAGTTAAAAATTATTGAAGCATTATATCTATGTTCAAGAATGCTGAGACAATATAATTTATAAATAATTTATAAACCAACCTGCTTTTCTGACCTTGCATGCTGCTGTACCCCTGACTAAACCTTCGCTTTAATGAAGATATTGCCTGATGGCTTTGGTTAAAATTTAACCTGAGATCCAGTCTTGCAAAGGATCTGTAGTACCATCTTAAACTGCATCAGATGGAACCTGTATGCCCACTTACTGATTTCGGTACAAACGTGAAAGAGAATGTGTATAAAGAGTTAATTTCACATATTGAAATTGCTGTTCTTCTGATCTCTGGACTGATGTTTTTTAAATTCACTCATAGGATGTAGGTGTCACTCACTGGGTCAACACATTAATTGCCCATCCCTAATTTCCCTTGAGAAGGTGGTGGTGTGCTGCCTTCTCTGAACCGCTGCAGTCCATGGTAGGCCCATAATGCCCTTAGGAAGGGAATTCCAGGATTTTGACACAATGAATGAACAGAGATATATTTCCAGTTCAAGATGGCAAGTGACTTGGAGGAAACTTGCAGCTGGTGGTGTTCCCATGTATCTGTTGCCCTCATCTTTCTAGATGGAGGTGGTTGACGGTTTGGAAGAGGGTTTGCTGTCTAAGGATCCTTGGTGATCATCTGTTGTGCATCTTGCCAATGGTACTTACTGCAGCTACTAAGCATCAGAGGTGGAGGGAGTGGATGCTTGTGAATACAGTGCCAATTAAATGGGCTGCTTTGTCCTGGTTGGTGTAAAGCTTCCTGAGTGTTGTTGGAGCTGTACTCATCCAGGCAAGTGAGGAGTATTCCATCACGCTGCTGACTTGTGCCTTGTAAATGGTGGACAGGCTTTGAGGAGTCAGGAGGTGAGTTACTTGTTTGTTTGATTTTAATTTATTGTCGTGTGTATTTATTGCAAATACAGTGAAAAGTGTTGTTTAGTGTTGCCACTCTCCAGCACCATCTTAAAACACAGAGAATAAACCAAAAAACAGAATATAAAGCCGGAAAAATAAAACAATAAAGTTCATCTTATAGTCTCA